GGTGCTGTGTATCCATTATCAGAAAGAAAAAGCAAAAATATCACATTAACTGTACAAATTATACATTCAACACATTCAATATTTGAATCAAAATCAAAAAGGAGTTCAAATTATCTCTCATCCTTATAGGTGGAGGGGATGGATACTAGACCAGAAAAACACATAATGATTGTTAGTCAGGTCAGGTATGTCTGAAGAGACATAAAATAACACAGTGTCTAGTAACAAAGAAAATGTTTTAACATGATTTTGATTGCCTATTGATTCTGTTGAAATAATTATTTTAGTTTGTAAGACATTTTCAAATGAATTTATTGAGTAAAAAAAACATATCAGAGGTCACAGAACCTCTCACTGATCTCCCACAGCTTCTTAGCTGCAGCATCATCCTTGGCTTTAGCGTAGAGTTCTCTCACAGTGCAGTTGGAGAAGTACCGCCCGCTGAGATGTTCGATGCCCTCCTGCAGAGCACAGTGCAGGGTGGTCTGACTTCCCTGGACCACGTTTTTGAAGAGGAAAAGCTTTACAGGTTGAAGTATTATTTTAGAAAAGAAGCTTGCGTTCCTGGTCAGCTCAGTGGTGATGGCTCCTGCAAGCAGATAAAGTAGATTTAGTTGCCTGATCTGTAACTGATACTGTAAAAAGATCTGTTTGTACACTGCTCAAAAAAAAAAAGGGAACACTCACAAAACACATCCTAGATCTGAATGAAAGAAATATTCTCATTGAAAACTTTGTTCTGTAAAGATGACAGTGCTGACAGCATGTGAAATACTTTGTCAATCAGTGTTGCTTCTTAAATGAACAGTTTGATTTCACAGAAGTTTGATTTACTTTTGTTAGGATGTGTTGTTTAAGTGTTTCCTTTATTTTTTTGAGCAGTATACTTCTTCATATCTTTTCATACCTGACATGTAAGGCAAAGGTGACAGATGGGTGCGTCTGGTTTTACAAAGTTCAAAAGTACTTCAGTAGCATACTATCTTCTGTTCTGTTAATATGTAATCTAAAATGTGTATAAAGTGTATCAGGAATATTTCCTGATGGCATGAAAATAGCATAGGTAATTCCCCTTTACAAGAATGGTGAGAAATTTCTGTTTAATAATTATAGACCTACTGTATATCACTGTTGCTTCAGTTCTCAAATGTTTTGGAGAAATTGTTTGTAATCAGATTGGATCGATTTATTGATAAACAAAATGCTTTAATAATCAATATGGATTTAGAGCTAGTAATTCAACATCAATGGCTCTCATGGATTTGATTGAACAAATAACGAAAGCTGTTGATCAAAGACAATATTGTGTTAGCGTTTTTGTTGATTTAAAGAAATCTTTTGATACTATTATCACAGCATTCCTCTTGAGAAATATGGTATGAGAGGTCCAGTATTACAGTGGGTATCTAGTTATCTGACAAACAGGAAACAATTTGTTCAAATAAATGATGTAAGATCTAAATTTGGTGATATTACATGTGGAGTTCCACAAGGTTCTGTGCTTGGACCAAAGTTGTTTCTCGTTTGTGTAAATGATCTGGTAAATGTGTCAGGGTTGTTTAAATGTGTCTTGCTCACAGATGATGCCACATTTTTTTGTTCAGGCAAAGATTTAGAACAGATGTTCAGGATGATTCAGACGGAGTTTGTAAAAATACAAACTTGTTTTAAGCTTAACAAATTTATCACTAAATTTGGACAAAACAAATTAAATGATATTCAGTAATAGAAAAATAATGGTCGATGTGTCATTTAAAGTTTATGGTGTGGAGATCTGTAAAGTTAGTGAAGTAAAGTTTTTGGGTGTTATTATTGATGAAAACCTGACCTGGAAACTCATATAAATTACTTAAAAACAAAAATAGCAAAATCTGTTGCACTACTACATAAGGAGTTATTTAATGATGAAGCACTATTTATATCATATAATGCAATAATTGTTCCACAATTTATTTATTGCGTTGAAATTTGGGGTAAGGCATGTAAAACATTTACAAATTATATTCTTATTCTGCAAAAAAGAGCTATAAGAATTGTTACCTGAAAACATTATAGTCACCCATCTAGTGTATTGTTTCATCAAATGAAATTATAAAAATTTTATGAGTTGGTTGATAAGATTTTTTATTAAGTATAGGGCTCATAAAATGTGTTGCCTTTGAATATTCAATCTAATTTTGTTAAGAGGGAAAGTTGTTATAATTTGAAAGGATTTGAAATGTTTATAAAACCTAAAATTCGAACAAACATGAAGGATAGATGTACCTCACTTCAAGGAATAAGATTGTGGAAAAATGAGGACAGCGATTATAAAAATGCTAACTCGATTAATTTATTTGGTAAAATGATAAAAGTTAAATTGTTGAAAAAATATGAAGTTGATGTTTGAGGGGTTAATCAATTTTTTTTGTTAGGCTGATGAGTGTGTAAAATTATGTGCATGTGTATACGTATGTATATATACTGTATATGTATATGAAAATACACTCACCGGCCACTTTATTAGGTACACCTGTCCAACTGCTCGTTAACACTTAATTTCTAATCAGCCAATCACATGGCGGCCACATGGAGGACATTTATTTTATACTAGTTGTCATTTTTCAGATGAACTACTTTAAGTTTTTTTTTATTTTAAGT